GTGACCCTATGTACAAGAGCCCTAAATACTGCTCTATCCCGCACCAACTTTATTGTCTCTAACACACCTACCCCCATTAACTAGTCACTAAATATATTCATCTTATTGAGGATCTTCCTCTCTTGCGCTATCTCTCCACCCTTCCAAACAAGATGTCCCTCTTCAATGACTAGTCCCTCCTTGTAATATGTCTAGAGTATGTCAGATGAAGCTTCAGAATCCTTGCCTCCAAGGAGTAGACTGGTTTCACCCTCTCCAGGATGAACCTGTTTGTTCTCCTAGCAGTCCATGTTATATTCGATACTCTTCTCTAGCATCACAGCTCAAAAGCATCAATTCTCTTTCTATCATCCCTAGTCATTGTCCAACTCTCTGACACATACATAGCAAGCAATTGTGAAGACTATGGCCCCTGGATCAGGTGCACCTTAGTCTACAGGCTGATGTCGTTGATCTTCAGTACTCTGGAGAGGTCCCTGACAGCTGAGTTTCCAATGCAATTTATCTCTTAATTTCCTGGGTGTTGGTACCAAGAATGTTGACTGTGGAGCCAAGAAAATGAAAACTGTTATTAACATTCTCAATCTCTTCACCATCCATAATAATGCTGCCAATTGTTCCAGTAGTGAGAATATTTTATTGATGTTGGTGAATCTAATCAGTCAGAAGCTCTTCAAAAGAAAGACAGGCAGTCTCTTCCTGTTCCAATTTACAGTTTCAGAAATTTGTTAAAGGAGCAGTATGAGTCAGAATTTACTCAGAGGCAGTGAGTTTGAGGGTTTAGGAATTTTAAAAAAATGCTTATTAAGTTGATGTGTTGAAATTAAATTGTACTTTCTCTTCTTTATCCAGAACTTATTAGATTGCATGTTTTTACTAAATGAGGTTGTTTCCATATCTATTTCTCATCTGCTCCTTCTTAACACTATATATTTCTGATTTTTTTGTTCTGGCACAGCCTGATTCTTGGGTTAGAGTAAAAAGGAGGAGTATAGAATGATATTTAAGGGCTCTGGTGGCTTAATCCACGGGGCGTTGCATTCCTAACCCAAAGGGTGCCTCTCTGGTGGTATGGATCCACCAGCAACTTTGTGGGAAAAAGATGGACAGTCTCCTCTTGTGTAATCTGCAGCCTCTGAAAGCCTTCCTGGGTTGGGGTGGTCAGTTCTGAGTTAGTCCCAGCTTGATGGCAATGAGTGAGGGGTTTTGTTTTGTTTTTAGAATAATATCCATTCTGGAACTCAAAGTCTGGGTTCAGTTTGTAGATGCATTTTATTTGTACCATACATTATTTTCAAAGATTTTATCCTGAATTTTATATCCACATCTACTTTAGTTATTCAAACTAACTGCCCTTTGCACTTACAAGCTTTGTTTAGAAGTTTTCCCTTCAGTCCCCTCAGGAGAGAAGGAACCTGTGAGGAGGTAGATCTTGAAGTCTCAATGGAAAATTTAAAGTCAGGCTTCCAAGGAGCCAGCTTCTAGCATGCATGCTAAACAACCTGCCCTCTTATGACCCTTTGAGGTCAAAATTAATGAACACAGTTATTCCCTTGGCTGGGCTTCTCTGAAGTGATAATATTCTTTGGATTCAGGTCTATCTTGAAAACAACAACCTGGTTTTGTAAATGCAATCCATTCCATGGAATTGAGTAAAATGAAATTATGTTGCAATATTACAGAAACACCTGACAAGAACTATTTGGAGAATTTTAGTCCAGAGTATTGCTACCCGCCAGCAATATTAATTTTTTTTCTTTTTATCTAGAGAAACCATCTCACTTGTATATATCTATCTAAGAAAGCTATTTTGATTTTTTTTCCCCCTCCTAGAGACATGACAGCATCTATTCAGTTCTGGAAATAATTTGTTGTTATCCTTCAAAGTTTTGGGTTTTGTCTTCTTTTTTTAAAGCAAATTTACTTTCTTATTACTTGTTAACTTTGGTATCATAAGTAGTATAATTCTAATTTAATACCTATTAGACAAATTATGAATAGTGTAGAAAGATAAATCCCACATGAAATAAAAAATTATAAAGGAAATATTAGCTGTCATAGCTTTGTTGGCCGAATGGTAAGGAGATGTACTGACAACCTTAAGGAATGCAGTTCGAATCCACCAGTTGCTCTGCAAGAGAAAAATGGATAATTTCCTTCCATGTGATTTACTGCCTCTGAAAACCCACTGGAGTGTATGGGTCAGTTCCAATTTGATGGTACTCAACAATAACAACGTATGATTTTAGCTGTTATGTATTCCTTTAAATTTTTTTTTTATCTGAAAGACAGGGTAATGGGTGGGTATAATTCAATGGTGATTGATTTTATAAAACATAATGTTCAGGAATGATCATATGAAACATAATGTGAATGAAAGATAATGTGAAACACAATGTATACAAACTTTGTAAGCAAACCAATAGAAAACAATTTTAAAAAAAAAATCTTTGAACAAGAACACTTTATCCTAGCTTAGGAAGAATCTGTGAGTGTTAAAATATCTTTGTAATTCATTTTAAATAGCTTCCTTTAAAAAAGGTTCAAATAGTTGATGTTCTGCAAACATAAAACCCTACACTTATCATAGAAAAGATAATTTAAAATCATGAAAATCTATATTTCCTATATACATGCCTGAGTTAAAGGGGGAAATAGTTTCGATTTTACTAGTGAAAATGTACTCAAAATCAGTCCTACATTTACTTTATAATATTTTTTAAAAGTTCAGTAATAATTTCTGTTTAGATTAAATCGAAGCTGTAGTAGTCTTTGACAATTGTGTTTATTAAGTTTATAAGTTAAAATTCTGAAAGTGAAAAATTAGATATTCTTTCAGGATTAAGGAGGGGGAAAATGTGGCTCTGAGGTATTATTTGTTACAAAAGCAAAACAAAATAGGTTCTGAATTTGCATAAGAAAAAAGTAGGAGAATTTTTATCCAGGAGGTCAAAAAGTCACTTCATCTAAAGTAATGCATGTTAGCACTCTTTCAACTGAGCTTGTCTACACCGGGCGTTTCTTGACTGGTAGAGATCTCTCAGATACTGACAGTGTTTAGGGCAGGAAAAGGTCCACAGAACTCAAAGCTTTTACTTAAAGGGAAGGAAGACTGGACTGTATACAAGATGGGCCAAGTTAAGTAATCTCATGCCCAGGACAGAGAAACCCCCTCCCCCACTCCATTGGAGCTATGGTGGCTTGGCAGTAAGGAATTGCTTTGCTAATGCAAGTGGCTGAAAGCCTTCATTCAGCTCCTCCACAGGAGAAAGACGGACAAACTCCTCCCATGAAATTTACTGCCTCTGAAAATTCACTGGAGGGTGAGCTATGAGTTGGTTCTGACTCGACAGCACAGAGCTGCAAGAGTTGTTAATTTGACCTACTTTAGTGGCTTGGCTAGGAGAAGTATTGAATCATTTGGGGGTATAGGTACAACTATTTTAACTACTCCTAAATAGCTTTAAACAAAATCTTTGGAATAACAGAGAGGAATTCCAAAAGCTAAGTACCATCAAGTTGACAACAACTTATAGTTATCCTTGTAAATTTGCTGATAGCTACTAGTTCAACAGGAGGAAAGTGTACAAAGGAGACTTTTCTAGTTACGTGCATATCAGTTTCATGCCAAATGTATTAGGTTGTCTTAGACTAGTTGTGAGATTTGCAAAAATGCAACTTTAATCCTCACTTAGAAACATATCCAAATGGTAAGTAACTGCAATTCAATTGTGCAATTATTCATCTCATTCAAGTGTTTAATTTTCAGGAAAACTTTGCAACACCACACAATCTTTGTACCAAGAAATAAAGTTATGGGACATTGGGCTAAGTCTCTTTTCAAATCCTAAATCTCTAATGCATCTGCTTTTTTGTCTGAATATTAACAGCCTTATTTTCCTTAGTTTATTTAACTTTGCTGTTTGAAACCTAAGAATGTCATCCATACTTATCAACATCCTCAAGTGGGGAGGGCTGTATGTGCGAAAGAATGGAGGGAGGGGAACTGTCATTTTAAACTAATTAGAAGTGGCTTACTGTGTTGGACTTTGTCACAAAAAGAAGGAAAAAAATTGTACTACAAGCATATAAAATTTTTTTAAATTTCTGTGAGAGCAGTATCATTATGTTAGCCAAATAATAAATGGATAGGCTGAATATTTCTGTATCTGATGTGTTGATATCATAGTAATTATATTTTGAAGTGCTTTATTTTCAAGGCCTCTAACACAAGAATGATTTTCTCAAGTTTGAAGTTATAGATGCTTAAATTCTACCTTTTCCTCTTCCATTGTGGTAAGTTATAGATGATCGTTCATGATTAGACTGTAGTATCTAATTTTGAGTTACTCAGCTTCACAGTAATGTGGTCAATAAGTGGATGCTTAACCACTTTACCAAAACATGTATTTGTTGGAGTCATCAGTAAGGATTTAGAACATATTTTGGTATATAAAGTAATGGTTGGAATCTGGGACATAAGACTGGGGCTAAATTTCTTTACCTTCCTCATCCCCAAGAGTCTTAAAAAAAAAAAAAGAAAAGAAAGAAGCAAAAGAGCACAAAGTGGTAAGGTAAGACACTATTATATTCATAATAGAGAGAAATAACCACCATGCCTCATGGACAGTATATGCAGTTCTCCGCGGAGCCACAAAACTGTGCTAGTAATAATTTTAATTGGATACTATCTTCACTGCCTTCAAAAAGTATCATAAAATGGAATTATTACTGGCTACAAGTGCACTTACAGTGCTGGCCCCTCGCAGAAGGAAGCAGACATTTATCCTTCGGAGGGCAGCATCAATGGAGTTCTATTTGTTTTGTTTACATGCATCCCCAGTTGCCCGCTATTTGCTTCCTCTTTCCTAAGTCTAGGCGATCTATTTGAATTAGACGCTTACAGACCTGGATACTATCTCTGCTGATCTTTTGCTCTGGGGAGTCACAAGGTCCCTGCAAAAGTGCTCCTTGCTCGTGGGGGCGGGGCAAGGGCGTACCTGCAGAGGATTGGGTGGCGTGAGTGGAGATGGCAGGCCTTGTCCCGGGGACTGGCTGGATTTCTGGGAGGGGCTTGAACTCTGCTGTGTAGGTGACTGTTGATTTTGATTCTGGGTCTGGAGATGCGGCTGATGCTGCTGGGGCTGAGGAGGCTGCTGCAGCTGAGACGTGGGCGTTGGCAGCTTCTGGGAGGCAGGTGGAGGCTGCTGGGGTGAGGTGGCCTGGGGCTGCTGTGGCTGAGGCTGCTGGGGCGCTTGTGGGTTTGTTGGAGGGTGCTGGCTGGTGGGCTGTGGAGGCTGTCCCTGCTGCTGCTGCTGCTGCTGCTGTTGCTGCTGTTGCTGGAGATGTTGGAGCTGCTGGAGTTGCTGGAGTTGGGAGTTCAGGGATGAGGTAGCTACAGGAAAAAAATGAATATGCAGTTAATAGAAGCACCACAAAACTTTCTCCCTGTGTCTTTAGCAACAGATCTGTGCAAACCAAGAGGGATCTCCTTTAGGAAGCTTTATCTTCTCTTCTGAAGATCTTTAGTTATAACCCAACCCAACCTACACCACACTATGTATCACACCACACCATACCACATCACACACCTAACTATAGCATACCTCACTACACACCACACCGCTCCATATATCACCCCACCCGACACTATACTACGCCACACCACACACCAGACTGTAGTACACCACACCACATGCCATACACAACAAACTACCGTACAAAACCCCATCATAGGCCACTCCACACCATACACCCCACACCATATCATACCACACAACACCCTATCATACTGAACCACGCACCACATCACATCATACCACACCATACCATTCAACACATTATACACACCACCACCACACAATACCAGATAATGTATAACAACAACACAGCAAGCACCACATCACATCATACCAAACCGTGCACCATACCACAACACATCAAACCAAACCAAACCAAACCACCTCAAAATCGTTGTTGTGGTGTTAGAACCAACTAGTAATGGACCCTGCAGCAGATTTTCAGAGGCTATGAATCACATGGGAGGAGATGGCCCATCTTTCTCTCACAGAGCTGCTGATGGATTAATATATACAGAGGAGTACCAACGTTAGGTCTGCAGTGAATTAAAAAAAAACACCCCCCCCCAAAAAAATAGAATCCAAACCCATTATCTTCAATAGATCATGACTACCTCTCATGTTACAGAGTAGAACTGCTCCATAAACTGTAATCTTAAGCAAAGCAGAATTCCAGACCTTATTGTTATGTGGTGTTGAGTCAGACGTGACTAATAGCCTGCTCTCCAGTGGATTGATAGAGTCTGTAAATCACACAAAAGGAGATTTCCCTTCTTTCCCCTGCAAAGCAGCTGGTGGATTTGAACCATCTGCCTCTGGACTGGCAGACTGGCACAATTCCTTGCCACTAGGCTGGAGCTCTCTTTTAGGATAGTTGTTGAATGAAAATAATTTATACCAGGGATCACCTGGTTAGTAATAATGAAAAATAAAGTCACTTCCTGGGGGGAATTTTTAAGTTAAAGAGGACCAGAATGTAAAGAAAGAGGCATTGTTGTTGTTATACCGTTGAGTCGCCTGTGACTCATAGTGACCCTGTGTACAACAACCCTAAACACTGGTCTATCCTGTGCCAATCTTACTGTCTCTAACACTCAGCCCCATTACCCTAGTCACTGACTCAATCCATCTCATCCAGGGTTTCCTCTCCTGCGCTGTCCCTCCACCCTCCCAAGCATGACACTCCTCTCTAAGGACCAGTCTCTCCTTACAAAATATGTCCAAAATATGTCAGATGAAGCTTCAGAATCCTTGCTTCAAGAAGCAGCCTGTTTTAACCTGTTAATTCTCTTAGCAGTTCATGGTATATTCAATACTCTTCTCTACCACCACAGCTCAAATGTATCAGTTCTCCTTCTATCATCCCTTGTCATTCATTGTCCAGCTCTTACCCTATCTTACCCTACCCTGAACCATTCTCACAATCTCTGATATATCCATTATGACAGTCACTGTATTAATTATTCTCCTTGAGTTTTTTTTCTCTTTCTCTGACCCTTGATTTTTCCCAGTACGGTGTCTTTTTTCCAGGGACTAACCCCTTCTGACAACATGCTCAAAGTATGTGAGATGATGTTTCACCATGCTTGCTGATAAGGAGATTGTTGGTTTTACTTCCTCTAGACAGACTACTTTGTACTTCTGGTATTCTTCTTCAACACCAGAGTTCAAAGGCATTGATTCTTTTTTTCTGTCATCCTTATTTATCGTCCAACTTTCAAATGTGTAAGAAGTTTGAAATTCCTGACAGCATCAATCTTTACTCCATCCATCATGATGTAGCCTATTAGTCCAGTGGTGTGGAGTTTTATTTTCTTGATATTGAGAAGTAATCCATATTGGAGTCTTTAATTTTCTGCAATAAGAGTTTCAAGTCTTCCTCACTTTCAGTAAGCAAGGTTGTGTCATCTGCATAATGCAGGTTGCTGATAAGTTTTCCTTTGATTCTGATGCTACATTCTTCACAAAATCCAGTTTCTTGAATGATTTGGTCAGCATTTAAATTGAGTAGGTATGGGGAAAAAAAGGAGGCAACACTAACACCTTTCCTGATTTTAAAAGATGCAATGGCCCCTTGTCTTGTTTGAACAATTGCTGCTTGGTCTGTGTATAGGTTTTGTGCAAGCACAATTTAATAGTTTTTAGAAAAAAAGACATCATGCTTGTAAAAGTAGAGGGTCAGTAAAAAGAACAATACTCTCAATGAAAGAAACTGACACTATGATTATGGCAATGGGTTTGAGCATGGCTGAGACTGGGAGGAAGGTGCAGAAGAGGGCAAAATTCCAATCAGTTATTCATAAGGTCACTGTGAGTCATAGTTGACTGCACAGGCCCTGGCAACAATCATAACTTCAGACCTCTTGTAATTTGCTTAGAAGTTCTAGTGTCAAATTTCTACAGTTTGGTTTGTTTGTTTAATTCACATTGAAGATGATGTTTTGTAGAGGGGGAGAAAAGCTATGCTGATCCTCTCTAAGGTTTTAAGTTCTTAAGTAGGTGTTAAGGTTTTAAGTAGGTTGCAGAATGTGATCCTGAACTGTATGTACACTCTGGTATCCTATCACTGTAGAGATTAAACATACTCAAGTCTTAAAGGCAGGCAAAGGACTGGGAAATGAAGCGATTTTTCACATTTTTAAAAAATTATTTTTCTTCTACAACCAGGAGAAGATAAAATAGATGAATGGGACCTTCTAAGAATCAAATCCCTATGCACATCCAAAAACTCCAACAGGGTAAAAAGGGAAGCCACAGACTGGGAAAAAGTGTTTGGTAATGACATGTCAGATAAGGGACTTATATCTAGAATTTATAAAATACTTGAGCACCACAACAAGATAAAGGTAAATAATCCAATAGAAAAATGGGCACAGGATATGAATAGACACTTCACCAAAGAAGACATTCAGATGGCCAACAACATGAAGAAATGCTCAAAATCCCTAGCTCTAAGAGAGATGCAAATAAAAAAAATGATGAGATATCATCTCACCCCAGTAAGAATAGCAAAATTTAACAGAACAGCAAGCAACAAATGCTGACGAAGTTGTGGAGAAACTGGAACCCTTATTCACTGTTAGTGAGAATGTAAAATGGTGCAACCACTGTGGAAAGCAGTATGGCGCTTTCTCAAAAAGTTGCAGATAGAGATACCATTTGACCCAGCAATTCCACTACTGGGAATATATCCCAAAGAGACCATAACTGACATCCAAGCAGTTATATGCACACTCACATTTATCGCAGCTCTGTTCACAATAGCAAGGAGTTGGAAACAACCCAGGTGCCCATCAACAAACGAATGGATAGAGAAGCTGTGGCATATTCACACAATGGAATACTATGCTGTATTGAAAAACAAGGAACTCATTCAATATTATACAAAATGGGTGAGCCTAGAGGACATTATGCTGAGTGAAATATCTCAGTCGCAAAAGGACAAATATCGCATGTTGCCACTGCTGTAAAATGGGACTGATATCACGGTGGGGATCAGACTGAGAAAAACTGGATAAATTGTGTATACTGCACTGAAACAGATGAGGGACTGGATAATTTAAAAGCAATGTATGATAGGGTATTATGGTTATCACAAGAGTCCACAATTAAGGTTGCATAGTGGAATGTACTTGGGGCGGTGGAGGGGTGCGGGGGGATTGTGTACTAGGGAGGGAGTCTTTCTTTTTTTTACTTTTGAAAGAGAGGAACGAACTGGGAGGCGGGGGGAGAGGGCTGGGTGGGGAGAGAAGTGAATCAATGAATGAATGGAAATCCAAATTCTCTGTAAATGTTCATTAAAATTATTAAAAACATAAAATAAAAAAAGAAATGTTGAAATTTTTTTTTCTTTTTGTCCTAGGAAAAGTGAGAGTTGTTGGGAGTAGTTGTCTTAAAACTAAGTACATTGACTTTGTTCTCATAAATCCAACTCACACTAAAGAATGTTTGAAGTATGAAGATACTTATTTTTATCTAAGAAGGATCTATAGAAAACTATTCCCTCACTTCTTTGCCTAGATTTTAGCCTAAGCTTTCAAATGAGCCTGAAGAGAAATTTAAGAGATAGTGCTGGCCCCAGATGGCTCCTTCTGTGTTTTCCTTCCTAGAATTAGTTGGACTTAACAAAGGCAGCAACTCCTGCTTGGCAGCGTTAAACTAGCCTCTGCTTTTAAAAAATTGCTTATTTAAATCTAGCAGTTTAGTAAATGATATGAAATGACAGCCTTCACACGGGGATTGTGTTCTTGCGAAGCATACGTACATTGAACCTATGCCAGGAACATCTGAATAACTTTCTCTGGAAGGAAATCAACTGGTTACAGTTTAATGCAGAGTTAAGAATAGTTTTGTAAAATGTGTTGAGCTTGTGTTGGACAATCAATATTGTTCCAGGTAACATGTAGGCATTAAAAAGGGTAATTATCCTGCCTTCTGGGAGCTTACAGTCGATTTGAGGAGATAAGAATCATTCACAATGAAAATTTGGCGTATTTGTTACAGAGTCTGCCAATGGTAAATGCTCCTTATAAAATCACGCCCAAACCCACTGCTATCAAGGGATCTTTTGGTTGGGTAAAGTGAAAAAGATAGCACCTTAATTCGTAGCAGCCCTGTAAAGCATAATAGAGCTGCCTCATAGGGTTACCAACCCTATACAGTTTTATAGAAGCAGTTTACTACATCTTTCTTTCAAGGAGTAAATGGTGGATTCAAACCACTGACCATTCAGTTAGTACTTAACCTGCTTTGTCACCAGGGTACTGGCTATAGATCTAATTAACTAAATGGTCAAGGAAAGTGAAACTGAAAAAAG